AGGTTACGTCCCCGGGGTTAACGCCACCGGGACTTGCCTAGACGTGGTCGATGCTAAAACCAGAGAGAGAGTGGTCTGTTGATCGTGTCAGTTACAACATTGCTGGCCGCTCAAGGACTTTGTGTGAAAAGATCAGGATGGACCAACCGCCAAGGTCGACCTGTTCGAGTTTAGAGTAACAAAGGCTGCTCAGTGCTGGAGGCGTGCGTCGTGGATATCAATTAGAATATTTATCCTGTGCTTAACTCCATGATAAAAGTTTCTATTTCGAAATCATCGATACCCAGCGTTGCTCACGTATTGTAGGCACTCGGGTTTCGTATTCGGAAGGTCCCCGATTAGATTCTATGGTCAGTTGCCTGCTAACGACTTTCTTAAGTGAGGATTTCATAATTTTATTTCGTCTTTCCGGGATGTTCCGGTGGTTTCTTAAAGTATCCTTCTTTTTTTAAACATTTCTAATTCCGGAGATGTGTGTTGCGGTCTAACAAACACACACACACGCGGGTATTTTGATAATGATACGCCGCTGTATGCAGCGAAAGGATTTTTTTATACCGCTAAAGTTTTAGTGGTCTGACCGATCCAGACTGGAGCATTTTCCACGGGCATGCAATAGATTATAGAATTGCAGCATTTTTAAATATGGGGAAAGCTGACAGATGCTGGTTAGAAAGCATGGATGATCTCCGTAGATCATTATCTTCGCCGAATATTATTAGGGTGATCAGATCATTGAGGGTGAGATGGGTTGGTCATGTAGCGCGAATGGGAGAGATGAGAAATGCGTGCGGAGTGGGCGAATCTGAAGAGAGAGACATGGACGAGGGGATAATATTAAAATGAAACTTTAGTGGGTAGTGTGGGGCTGTGTGGATTGGATTTATCTGGCTCAGGATAGGGACTTGTGAAGGTTCGAGTGAACCTTCTGGTGCCATAGAAAGGCTGGGCCTACTCTTGGGTTCTCAAGGACTCTTGTTTCCATGAGTTCGGATAACTTGTATAATTCTCGTCGTCGAAAGTCTATCAAGCCATGGTTTTTGCAACCCGACAGTATATCTTGGAATGTCGATGTAAATAAAGTCAAAGGTCAGCTGTATCGTAGATTAACTTAACATTAATCTAGAAGTCGGTAATTCGAGTATCGTGGGTCGCAGAACTCCCGAGTATTGCCTTTGGTGGTATTTGTCGGTCCAGTGACGTTCGAAGATGATACAGACAGGTGGGTGTCACGCACGTGGCGTGTTCTCCGACGCCTTTTTCTTGATCGGGGACCCTGGCCCTGTTGCCAGATTTAACTTCGCTTTTGACCGAAGAGGTGGCAAGTTACGTTTACGAAATCGTTTTGTTTCTCAGACTGTACCCCCCACGTGGCTATATTCCTTCATCGATTCCCATTCTGCGTGTAACCGGTGTGATGGAAACAAGAAACGCACAGAAAGTTTTTTGTGGTGAGCGGTCGTGAAAAGAAGCCAGTTCTAAGACACAGGAGTGATGTAGTATTAAAATGAGCTTCGGGGAAATATATTGGTCCATTGTCTGGCGGAGTTTCTCGGGACGGGCACTTCTTCGTGGTTTTATGCCGTAAAATTGGCCGAGAAGTATTTGTAAATGTCGGTGACGGGGCATAGCGAACCCAAGAAGTACTTCCCCCGCCATCAGCTGTGTCTCCAATGAACGTAATGAATTCGTGCAGACCTTGGCAGATTGGAAATGAGGATGTGACGTTTGACGTGGGTGGAAGAGGACGTTCGGGATCGCGTACAGTGCTGACAACCTCCTGCGGTAACGGTGTTGAACCCATCAGGAATTCGCACGTACAATTTTCTCTTTCAAGTTGTCACGTTGTTTGACTACTTTGCGTAGATAGCGCGCTCCCGCGTTTCATCTGTTTTGTAATTAATGGCGTACGTAGACACATTGCAACCGGGCACTAGTTGTTTCGCGGTGAATTCCGCGTGCGATTACTATTTTATTTATTTAGTGTTCTGTTCTTACTGTTTATTATTATTAGTGTTCTGTCTGACGACAGGTCCATATGAACAGGATCCTTCCATCCTTTTCTCGGACTGGGACCTGTTCATATACGTTCTTGGCAGATGATCCAGAAGTGGTTTGCCATTGCCTTCTTCTGTGTGTGAATGGAGTAATTGTTGGGATGCCACGGAGGAAAACTCCGTGTTGCCTAGACCACGGCCTTGCCCAACACAAGTTATAAATTCGGGCACCGCCGGGAATCGAACCCGAGACCCCCAGCGTTCTAACCGCTAGACCACCGTGGCGTGTTTGAGTTTTCTGTAGTGCGATATCGGGGTTCGATTCCTACAACGCCCAGACTGTCCCTGGGGGCTCATCCAGCCCCTATTCCAAGTGGTTTTATATGTTAACTATAAAGAAACACATTGACGGTGTTAATATTTTAATACTCTGGCGGATTAAATGTTGTCTTATTCTAAACTACAGATCGTTATTTCAGTTTATACTTAACACAGTTACTGCTAGCCTCGACAAATTCATTGACCCCCCCCCCTTCCCGTTGCGTCACGTTTCTAAAATGTATTCATGAAATCGTTATAGTGCGTTGGTAAAGACGGCTTCACCAAACTTCAACGGGTCGCGATCCATAATTTAGCTCAGTACTTGCCTTGAAGCTGCTACTTTACTCCGTGAACTTTCGTCTCTGTTTAATTTCGTATCGGCGTAGTGTAATCCACAGTTTTCTTGTAACTTATCTCATTGCGCAGAGGATTTGTTGGACACAGAAAATGTATACCTCCTTCAGTTCTAGAACTTGTACTTGAAACGTTTATCGTCGACAAGGACAACTTACATGGCTGGAGTGTGATATTTATAATGTGATTAGATTTGTGTCTGCAACAAGCGATAATGCATAACAATGAAGAGTGCTTTGGAAAATATACAACTTCATAAAAATCTTGGTACTCGTGGAAATGATTTTTCCCCCTCTGAACCCGAAGCTTGTCCAAATCTTAAGAATCCAGGCCGTACCGCGAAGAAAACACAACTCTTCACCATTACAAAGATCAATTGGTCACATCGAAAAGTAGTCGAGAACTGAGACCGTACCGCGAAGAAAACACAACACGTGACCATTTCAGAGATCCGCTGGTTAACCTTGTTTAAGGAAATGATCGTAGCAGCGCGTATTTTGACAACTCGGCCTTTGGAAGCGAAGCGAAATTGCGATTTCCGGGCGCCTGTGTGGCACTGCGCTCGACAGACCGTGGCTGTAAGCTTCGTGAGCAAACTTTTACACCTTGCCCGAGCGAAACGTCGGGCGTGAACGTGGAAACCGGAGTTCGAAGCGATAACAGGAGTGGAACGGTGCGCTGTGTGTTCCAGATACGTCCATTGCTAATTTGTATACCACATTGACCTTGGTGGGTTTCTTTTTTTTTTCCCCGTTTTGTTGTTTACGAACACTCGTGTAGGTGAGAGTCCCAAAGACAGCCATCTTGTTGCTTACCTGATGAAACTATTTGTACTTATAATATTTCGTAAGCAAAATTCAGTGGCCATTTCTCATCCAAGTCTCCTCCTGATTTACCGCTAGATGGCTCTGGCAGTCAAATCAGGTTTGAGTATAAATTGTGCAGTCAGTGGGCTGGACACTCCCTGCTCACAAATGCACATTCCAGAAAGACTAAGAAACCTCGTAAGTCATGGCCCGAAAACGGACCGAAATGATATATTTCGTTATACACAGTACAAAAAACTATTTAAAATGTTGTAAGATCGATACGGGCTGCCATTATTCCCTGTGATTAGCGTATTTTTTGAAAATCGATCAACTTCGGTTTGAGCTCAGGGACGGTTGCGACCCGAAATTGATTTAACACTGAACCTTGTAGTACAGACTGATTCTTCCGAAAAGCAGTGGGGTGGGGGGGGGATCTCAACCCCGGCTCCCAGAGCCAGGGGTTTGTACGTGAGCGCAGGACACCAGAATGCGACGCCAACGATTACGGTGACGTAGATCCTAGGCGATTGGACGACGACGGGGCGGGCGGGGGGTGATTTAGTTCGGGGGAGCGTCGCGCCGCGTCGGTTTCTCTCGGCTCTGGCGTCGGGACGTAGGTTGGCGAATCAATTCCAACTATCAGCCAGCCGGGAAGGTCCCGGGGTTGTGCCAGAGAAAACCTGGGGGCTGTTCCATCCGAGCAGTGGACTCGGGGAGAGTAGGTCAGGTTGTATACCGGGAAAGGGGCAGCACTAGTTCCTCGCTCTCTTTGAGTTGTGAATCGCATTAAGGTTCTTCGGTCAGACGTAGTTGTTCACACCTGAGATCGGATTTTTTCAGGATCGGGGAGGGTTTTTTTGGGAGTGTTCGGGGGTTTTGATTGTTTCTAGGTTATATAACTGGTTGGTAAGGTACGTTCATATGCTTGAGGACACGTTTTGATTTGCTAGACTACACAGCACTTCGTTATAAGAAAACGCTAGATTATTGTGAGTTTCTCGCTG